TGCAGTTCAAGGGAAAGCAAAACCGGTTTGAATTAGATAATAAACCCTATTATTCGATCCGACAACAGCCTTGCCTTTGCTCTCATTTGAGCAAGCCTGTTGTCTTACAAATGGGGCACAGGTTTTTTAGCATTAACCATTGTTTGATGCAGTATGTGTGGAAGTCATGTCCACAATCTAGTATCCCGGTATCATCCCCGTCTGCATATTCTTCCTGCCATGGTTGAAGTTTGGACAAGGTAAACGGGACTTCGAACACACAGGTAAGATGGAAGGAATATCTACAGTCTTCTAGTATCGTACCTGACAGATACAACATGGTTCCAATTCTTGTGTGGATTCTGTTGCGGTGGATGAATACTTTTTCTGTTTCATCGACTTCAGAATGGCTTCCTCGTTCAGCCCGGTGCTAACACCTCCAATCTGTTCTTCCAATGCCAGCAATTCCTAGTGTTCCATTTGCAATGTGAGAAGAATAACCTCCAATGTGAAGTGATTGAACGCAAAACAGACAGAAATTCCTTTTACCTCATACGACATGTTATCAACATCAAGGCGCATGTCTCTATGTCTGTCATGTGTTTCGGGCATACCATGATATATGAACGGATCAAACACCATATAATCCTGAACCGGGATCACATAAAGAAATAAACAAATTATTTTCAGACAACATAGCTCTTTCTAGTCTTTCTACGCGGGTGCTCTTTATCTCTCAATTTGTGGGAACCTGTTTCGGAAGTAACTAGAAATGTATGCAAATATGAACATAAAAATTACATCAATAGCATGTCCAACTGTTGAAGCAATCTAGGCATTGATCTGCATAACAAACTTTCCGTGCATCAATTATCCGATAATATTCTTTTGAAAACCATCTCTGACAGATAATTCAAGGCCAAGCTAGTAATCGACAATAAGAACCTAATCTATAGGCCAATAAAGAATGAGAATATTGTTTCCCAGCATTAGCACCAACATGTTTCAAACTGCTATAGTGAAACATATGCAACAAAGTCATATAAATGCTTGAAGCTACTAAGTTTTCAATCCTGTCCTAAGAAATCCATTCATTTTCATAAAAATCGCAACTATTTAAATGCACTCATGGCAGTTTTGTCGTATTTTAGAGAAAACCTGGTATGAGGAAAACTCAGTAAATGGGTTCCAATTGGTGAAACCTTGAAACTGTTTCGTAAGATAAAAGGCAAAAGGAAAAGGAAACAAATCTTTTCAAACTTAACCAGCTAAATCAATTATAGTCAATGAAGAGAAAGACCTAAAAGAAAAAACTCTACTCTTAAATATAAACATTGCACAAATCAGAAACCAAACCTCAATTCGTAAGTTCTCCCCTATACGCATGGTACTCAAGACTTGGCGTATCTGAGACATGGAGAAGAAAATGAGAAGGAATAAAGAATATTTTCTTATGTTCAATTGCCATTATACAAGGTGGGGAGAGTTATCGGTGCATATCTTTCATCTCAAAATTTAATTGGTCAGAACTGTAATAGACAATATTTTCTGAAATGTGATAAATTAACATGCTTTATATCTAGGTTGAGAATGAGATTGCTCAAGACCTCATTTCTCAATTACACATATTAAGGTGAGAAAACATAACAGTCCAGTACAAAAGAAGTGGTAAAATGATAAAAACTCACATGCGAGGGGCCGAAAACACTAATGGCAAAAATTGATACAGACTAAATACGAAAGATGAACATCAGCGAGGATCAAGAGTATAGAGCTTAGAAAAGCCTTAAAAGGAAGAAATGATTGCTATAAATGATCCAAATAGCTTGCACAAACACTCAATTGAGCCTGATTTACCACAGCTTGTCTTATTTCTTTCCTGTTTCCATTAATTCCGTTTTTTCTCTAAGATAAATAACAGATTCTTAAATTAAAGCTTGAATATCATATAAACTTACAATTATGTTCAGATATTTGAAGATTACATGTTCCAGAAAGGCAAAATTTTACATCTGAATTTGATTAAGAACTAATAACATGTTAACTATGATTATTTCTGAAAGTGCAAATCATAAATAGCTGCCAAGTTACCCAGTATGAAATTACTGAAGGAAAATATTAGACGACAAGTTATTCCTGTCACAAAATAAGCATAAGATTGTGATATAATTTTAAAGAAACATTGTGATGAGGATGAAATGGATGGAAGTTTCAGATAAAGGGAACACCTACAAACTGATAATTGGGGAGAACATAAAAAAAATGAAAAATACAAAGAAAAGAATCTACAAATCTGCTTTTTTTTTCCTTGATGGTTCAATATAACCTACATGGATAAATAAAGGTACTTGCAAATGTCCTACCCAAAATGAATTTGGGAAGAGCATCAAATATGAAATGCCAAAAACAAATAAACAATGCTAATAGCAATTTAGAAATTAAATCATCTTCTTAGAATCTATTTATGGTTTTATGTTTGTCCGTGCTAGTATATAAACCATAGGTATGCATGCATGCATGCAGGGGTGTAAGTTCATATGGATATAGGCACAATATTAGTTACTAACTTTAACTGCACATCATAAGATTGGGTAACTAGGTAATTCGAGAATGCTACTAACCATCATTATCTCGAAAGCCAAATTTGTTATTACTAATGAAAACAAACCCTACTTAGGAAGCTTTAGACATAAATGTACAGAGACAATGAAGTTAAAAACTAGCAAATAGATCTTCAGAAACAAACCTCAGATATTAGCCGGTGTCTCCCTTCAATGTCAGCAGCCAAAGCTCGCAATGAGTGGGGCATCCCGAGGACATCATCATCTTGTCTCTCCAATATGAATGCTGACCTTGGATATGGTTGATTGTTACCTTGAAATGTTTGATCCAGATGGTACCACCGTCTCTCGTGAGGGAGCAGAAGGACCTGAAGACAATGATGGAAAATGGTCACCACGACCACCAGGTTCAGAATCAATTGGAGGAAATAAAGACCACGGAGAAAATTCTGGTAGTCTTTGTTGATTGTGCAATGGTGGGTTGTGAGGAGGAATCCAGGCATGAGTGGGCAAAGGATGGGTACTTGAACTAGGCCCAGGTCGACTAGAAGATGGCATACCACCTCCAGAAGAGCTAATATTTCCAGAAGCCAAATTCCAACCTGTAGAATCCTGTGCTACATTTCTCATCTCAGTTGCTGGTACAAGCATGGGATGCTCTGGATTGTTTCTTGGGATATTTCTTATGTTTGGTTCATCCTGTAATGCAGAAGCTCTCTCTCCAAAATTGGTAGAGTCTGATGGGTTGGCAGCTCTTAAACTTGAAGTATCGTTCCAAGGGAAAGAATTCACATTTCTTGGCACAACACAAGTGGTCCTCATATGAGGTTGAGTTGGAACAGAACTATATCCAACTGTTGCCCCAGTGGATCTCAAGTCGAAAGAATCACCAAATGAGGCAGTTCTAGGATGACCAGGAGAGCCAAAAATAGAATGGCCAGCAACCCCGGTTGATGATAAACTATATGGTAAAGATTCTTGTTGGTTTCCTGGATTTTCTCTTCTTACACTCGAAGTAAATGCATCACTAATTGCTCCTCCCATACCAAGCCTGACTCTTGAATTCGTCTGATCAGCGGGACCAACATTAAGGAAATTCCAAGAGGGCGTTGTTAAACTCAAGCTGCTAGAAGCATCGTTACGTGAGGAGCCAGCATGCCATGCTGCATTTTCCATCTGTTGAAAACAGCTCGAAGCACCAGCAGAATGAGACTCTGCAGAAGGACCATCAAGGACTTTCCTTTTGCAGGATAAACCCCAACTGCCCAAAGAAGAGCCAGAACCATCAATATTTTCCTCCCCCAAATGATTAGAGCCTCCAGATGAACTACCAACATTATCAGAAGAAACACTGGCATTAGATATCTGTTCTCTTTCTAGTCCAAGCGAGTTATGGACATTGAGACTTATACCAGTTCCAATGTCTGACCTTCCATTACCACTGCTGCTAATAAACCTTTCATTTAGATTCACATTTTGTGGGCTATGATTAGAGCTTGAACCTTGCAAAAATATGGGCCCACTCCGGACCTGATTACCACTTCTACCATTATTCAGTCTCCTAGGAAAAACAGCATTTGCTGGTTCAACCCGCCTTTCTTCTGACCTTGGAGCAGCCACAAAATGAGCACCATAAGAAGGCCGAACACACTCTATTTTTGTTCCATCATCATTAAGCTGGTGATTTAGAACATCCTGCATCACCTGGTTTTGCATTCTCAATCTAGAGCTCGGTTCACCAGAACTCCAGCCACTAAATCTCTGAACATTGGGAATAGTGGTGTTTCCATGCATTGTCCCACCAGAAGGCGCTGCATAATTGGATAACCGATTTTCCACTGGATTCAGCAAGTTATGCAAAGAATTTGGTTGACCAATGCTCGTATCATTGGGACTAGATCCCTCATCAATGTTAACAGTTTCAGGAAAGGAGTCAACGGTGCCCCCCTGACCTTGCATCACGGAAGATATATTCCAAATATCTCAGAATCGCTAAATATTATTCCAAATTTCAAAACAAATGTCCAGTCAAGCTCCCATTTCTATGGTCAAAATATTAAAGGGACCACAAGCTCAGACTGGTAGTTGAAATCTGAAAAGATAAGCACAATATCCATATTCACATTTCAGTTATAAAAGAGGAGGGTGAGGGTTCTTCCAATGCATGACGAAAATGAAGTAATAATAATAAAAAAAATGTTGCAACCTTAGGTTACAAAATAAGCTTTGACGTTCCTGAGTTATTCTTTACTGGATTACATATGTCCGCAAGCGAGAACCCCAACCAGTAATTTGAACACAAAAGAAATAAATACCTTAATGACAACAGGTATTGATTTTTTGAGAGGAAGTGAAGGAAAGAACTTTATGTTAGATGGCATACAACATGATATCCTAATAGTTCAAGTATATAAAAACTAAGCAATGAATATTGGTCTATCAAAAAAAGAAAATATCATTGGGACTAGATCCCTCATCAATGTTAACAGTTTCAGGAAAGGAGTCAACGGTGCCCCCCTGACCTTGCATCACGGAAGATATATTCCAAATATCTCAGAATCGCTAAATATTATTCCAAATTTCAAAACAAATGTCCAGTCAAGCTCCCATTTCTATGGTCAAAATATTAAAGGGACCACAAGCTCAGACTGGTAGTTGAAATCTGAAAAGATAAGCACAATATCCATATTCACATTTCAGTTATAAAAGAGGAGGGTGAGGGTTCTTCCAATGCATGACGAAAATGAAGTAATAATAATAAAAAAAATGTTGCAACCTTAGGTTACAAAATAAGCTTTGACGTTCCTGAGTTATTCTTTACTGGATTACATATGTCCGCAAGCGAGAACCCCAACCAGTAATTTGAACACAAAAGAAATAAATACCTTAATGACAACAGGTATTGATTTTTGAGAGGAAGTGAAGGAAAGAACTTTATGTTAGATGGCATACAACATGATATCCTAATAGTTCAAGTATATAAAAACTAAGCAATGAATATTGCAATTGCTACTAACCTACAACCGAAATACAACTATGTCAAAATCTCCATGCATTGACATCCATAACTAGCTGCAAGCTAGCAGAGGAATAAAGAAACGACGGATGAACACTGAAAAAGTAACATGGGATAGAACAGCATTGTTATTAACACTAACCTTCCACTCACGAACAGGAAGAGTTCAAATTTCCAGCTTTTATACAGAATACTTTGAGGCGATATCAGCAGATCAAAGGGAATAAAATGTTGAAATATGAGAACTAATCAGAGACTCGCTTAGTGAAGCCTCAAATTACAAAAATCAACAAAATGTAGTTTGCAGAATCATCTGCATCAAAAAAAAGGGTGTAAAATCACAAATTTTATCACATTAATAAACCCATCAAAGAAAATGGAAACGAATCCAAATAAAGGTCTTTTTAAAAATCAAGTAACTCGCTTCTGTATTAGTAAAGCTTTGGTCTTTTGACAAAAAACGTAAGGCAACAAGAAAACCCAATCCCATTTCTTCCCCAATTTAGTTAAAAAATCAGATGATTAAATTGAAGAATGCCTTTTTATCCAAATATATGACGAGTTTCTAAATTTTAAAAGCAAAATTAAAATCGCAAATGCTTGTAGATAAACACCCAATTAAAATTGAAAAAGGAAATGAACAAACAACCCAACATGGGTCGATCTCGATCCCTCCTATAATATCAAAATAACGTAAATAACAACAAAATTAGCAAAAAACTAAGAATTCCCATTAAGGGTAAAGATAAACGATCAAGAAAAGCAAACTATTTTGGATTATTAAAAACACTATATATCATCTATGGGGAGAAAATCACCTGGATTAAGAGAAATACCTGAAAAAGAAAGATGCGACGATGAAAAGCAAATCATGACAGGTAAAAAAAAACGATAATAGAGATTGGATATTGGAGATTACAAGCACATTAATAGAAATAAATTTTAAGGAGAGGAGTCACAGGGTTTTTTTCCTCCTTTTTTATGATTTTTTTGGGAGTTTTCTCTTGCTCTCCTTCTTGTTATTTTGCTCTGTGTTTTCAAAGGAATTTATTTATTTAGGATGATGATGATGAAAATAGGAGAGAGCCAAATCACTGAAAAAATGGATGAGATGATCCGAGAGAGACAGGGGAAGAGAACATGCGTACTCGGTCTGCAGCATTGGTTTTCCTTCGTTCTTCCATTTTTTTTATTTTGTGAATAAATAAATAATAAATAAATAAGGTTTTTTTTTCTAAATTTTAAGGCGTTTTCTCGAAATATCACCCTAATCCTATATATTTTCCTGTCAGTCATCTTTCAAATTATATTTTTCGATCTAATACCCATTGCAATAAGACGTGCCCCTGCACCGCGTTTTATGCCACGTGATCAAAGACGTCATTAAAATTTTTAAATGGGTGTCAAAGACGTCATTAATTTCTGACATTTGTGTAAAAACGTCAACATTTTAAATTGTGCAGACACCCCAGCCGCATGGTTCCAAGTGAGTTTTAATGAAGTGGACAGTGTATGAAGTGGTTGAGTTTATTAGTATTTTAGTGTCACAAGTTTATTATTTATAATAATAAAAATTTTATAATTTAAAAAATTATAAATTTCATATATTTTGAAAAAAAAATTCTTTAAAATTAATTGTTAAAAAATATAAAAATATTAAAATAAACTTTTAATTACAATTAAGGGATCAAATGAATTATTATTCATTAATTTTTATTTTTTAACCCCAGTTAATAATGTTTATTCATTTTTAATAAAATTATTTTGATTTTTGCTTTAAAATTACACAATACGTATAATCTAGTATAGGAAAACTTTGAGGGTAAGTATTTTAAAATATGAATAATTTTATAAAAGTTTTATAACTAGTATTTCTTTTACATAATGATGATGATGATGATAATAATAAATATTTTATAATTTTAAAAATTATAAATTTCATATATTTTTGAAAAAATTATTACCTTTTAAAATTAATTGTTTAAAAATATAAAAAAAATATAAAAATAAACTTTTAATTACAATTGAGGGATCAAATGAATTATTATTCATTAATTTTTAATTTTTAACAACAGTTAATAATGTTTATTCATTTTTAATAAAATTATTTAAATTTTTACATTAAAATTACACAATACATATAATCTAGTATATAAAAACTTTAAGGGTAAGTATTTTGAAATATGAATAATTTTATAAAAGTTTTATAACTAGTATTTATTTTATATGATGATGATGATGATAAATATTTTATAATTTAAAAAATTATAAATTTCATATATTTTTGAAAATATTATTACCTTTTAAAATTGTTTTAAAAATATAAATATTAAAATAAACTTTTAATTACAATTAAAGAAACAAATGAATTATTATTCAATAATTTTTTCAAAATATATGAAATTTATAATTTTTAAAATTATAAAAAATTTATTATTATAAAAAATAAACTTGTGACATTAAAATACTAATAAACTCAACCACTATACACACTGCCCACTTCATTAACTTATGACAAGACCCCAGTCAGTTCACAACCTAGAACCGAGTGTGGGGGTGTCCGCACAATTCAAAATGTTGGCGTTTTTACACAAATGTCACCATAATATAAATTAATGACGTATTTGGCACACGTTTAAAAATATTTACAAAACTAAAACCCGAGTTTTTTACACATTTCGTAAGGCGCGCCTTCGACCACGTGGCGTAAAGCAAGGTGCAGGGGGCGCCTTCCTGCAAAGGGTGTTAGATCAGAAAATATAGTCTGAACGATGTCTGATCGGGAATATTAAATTAAAAATGTGATTTTTTGAGATAAATGCCAAATTTTGAGGCAGAAAGTGGCCAATTTTACCCGAAAATCACCATAACAGTTAAATATTACCTATCAGGTACATTTTCTACAAATATTACTGATTTAACACCCTTTCTTACAAAGCAGATCATGAAGCGCGCTTTCGCAGGGTTTTGTCTAAGCTAACGCCACAATGGAAAGCATCAATCATAATTCGCGCCTTCGTAGGGTTCTATCCGAGCTGGTGTCACGGTAGTAAAGCGCAGATCATGAAGTGTGTCTTTGCTAAGAATCAAACACGTGGTAGAAGACGCAGATTGATATGCATTTTGCATTTAAATACCGCCCAACCCCCGCCCCCTCCCCTATAATACCCCTTCATCCAACACTCATAGCATACAAAAAACACTCTATTTATTCATTCTATATATCGTTCTATCAAGTTTTAAATAAGTATAGTTATTGTTTTTAGAAGTTAAATTTTTTTATTATATTATAATCATTTAAAAGTTTATTATTTTATTATATTTTATTGTACTAATTTTTTATAGTTATAAAATGGTAGGTGGGTTGATGTGTTTAGATAAGAATCATATATCGAGTTATTTTGCCGATACATTAATAATTTTAAATTATGTTATTTTATTTATTGTGAATGTTTTATTTATTTATTTATTTAGTATTAGTTTATATTTTAATTTGTATACTATTTATTTAATTAGGTGAATGACCGTATATTAGATCAATTTATTCGTAACACTAAATTAGAGATACCGAGTCATGTCTGGCCGTATTTGGCTGAGGCTGGATTCGGTTACATAGCGAAATATGAAGGGAACTATAACCTTGAAACCAACCTTATTTTTGCACTGATTGTGAGGTGGAGACCAGAGACACACATTTCATCTTTCGTGTGGGGAGCGCACTATTACGCTGGAGGATGTTTCCTTACATTTGGGACTTCTGGTAGATAGGATGTTATTTCTGGTGTGTCGGATGGTGATTGGCATTCCTTGTGTGAGGAGTATATTGGAGGTATCCTGCCTAATTTCAATGGTGGTCGGATATTGTTATCATGGTTGGCTAGAAATTTTTGACGGTTGAGGAATGACTGTTCTGAGGAACATGCTCAGATATTTGCCCAGGCTTGCATATTGCAACTCATATGAGGGATCTTGATGCCCGATAAATCTCGCAACCAAGTTCATTGTATGTGGTTGCGTCATCTCGCAAATTTTCGAGTTGTCGGCTCATTCAGTTGGGGCTCCGCTATTTTGGCATCTCTATATAGAGAAATGTGTCAAGTAACTGATTATCCAAAAAAATGCTATTGGTGGGTGTCTTTTTATTCTGCAATCATGGGCGTAGTATCGCATGCCTTTTTCATGTCCGATCGTGAAAAACTCATTAGTCTTTTTGTTATTGTTGAGGTAATTTTAATATTGAGTTTGTATATAAATATTTTTTTAGTATATAATGATTTTTTACATTGAATAGGTGTTCATCTATAAGGACACCGTGATATACAGACGAATTGGAAGAAATTCAGCTGCTCATTGTTCAAACGGCCGGTACAGAGGTATGTATTTCAATTTTATTATTTACCTTTAATTATTGTTATATAATTAGAATATTATTTTGATAAGAATTATATATATTTGTTTTAGTTTCAACGGGCTTCTTATTTTATTGAAGAAATGAGGCGTTGCATCACACCTCACTTGAGTGACCCATTAGATGTATGGATGGCGGTGGTCCCTCTGATATGTTATGTTATTGTCGAGTTGAATCCTATTGATCGCGTGCTCTGCTAATTTTATTTCGTACAATCAAGCATAGCATGTATGAGGACCTTTGTATACTGTTAATTCTCATATGTTGTTTTTCCTCTTCCTCTTCGATATACGAACCATCCAGTTACATCCGTTATCACGTTGGACACAGTAGCAGGCATACTTTTCAGTGGTGGATCAGTCTACTCTAGAGTGAACAGAATTATAAATGTTGTAATTCTTATTTTCAATCATCGCTTCTTCTTCGGATGGAAACTCAATTTCGATATATAACTCACCATAATTGACTTATGAGTTAAATCCATAATCACCAAGATTAGGCATATCCGTAAATTCTGGCTTATACATTACACATAGTTAGCTTTATACATGTATGTTAGAGGTTCTGTGTGTACCGTATGCGTGGGAACGTAATCTACACCATCATCATCGGAGTCCATATTGAACTGCAGTGATTCTGGCTCAACGAATAGTCCAATCTCAGCACCATCTGCATTTGGCTCACGAAGAGGTTCTTCTGGTGAATATGAGGGTTCCTCTATGATACTGATATTTAGGTCGAACAAGCTAGTAGTTGAATATATCCCCCTTGAAATTGAAGGTATCATATCGTACGGGTTTTGAACTGAGTGTTGTGTCTCCATATTGAGGTGAAGAAGCTTGTAGTCGAATGCCTCCCCTGGAACTTGTAGGCATCGTGTTAAATGGGTACTGAATAGATTGTTGTGTTGAGGGCATCTCCATATTCAGGTCAAAGAAATTGACAGATGAATGCGTTCCCCTTGAAATGGAAGCGATGTTGCCATACGAAATGTTCATAGACCCACCTCGGTGAAGATCATAACAAGTTGTTGATGAATGCCTCCCCATTTAACTTGATGGGATGGTACCAGGATGTGGATTTCCTAGTAACAATTTAAAATCATTACACATTACTTGAGTTGGGTTATCAACTTGATCAGTTTGTTGAGTCAACCCATAATGAGAGTATAATGACATACCACAAACCGTAGACACTTAAACAAATATGGCATATATTTGTGTATCAGCGTCTGAATTTTGATTCTGAGCATCAACCATCATAGGAATATCATCATTATTGGAGAGTTCAAATGCTGTATAAGTTAACGAAAACTGAAATACACCTAATTAAATAAATAGTATACAAATTAAAATATAAACTAATGCTAAAAAATAAAAAATAAAAATAATTTAAATAACATAATTTAATATTGTTATGTATCAGTAAAATGTTTGGAGATATGATCTCACCTTCCATTTTACAACAGTAAAAAATAATACAAAATAATTAGTACAATAAAATTTGATCAAATAATTAAATATAAAATAATTATAATATAATAAAAAATTATTTTACCTTATAAAAACTATAACAAAATCTACTTAGCTTAATTAAAGAAAGAATGTGAAAGTAATTTTGGTGTGGTTTGATGTTTGCATTCAGGAGTATTTATAGGGGAAGGGGATGAGAGACTGAGAGAGTTGACTCGGGTAATAAAATGGAAGGCGCGCCTCTTTCGCGTATTCCCTACTCTTTCGGATTTCCTAGCGAAGGCACGCTTCATGATCCGTGTCTTTACT